GTATTACATTATGTTGCGATGTGTGTTGCGCGCTCTTACGCAATTCTTCCCCACCGCGAGCTTCCTTGTGTCTCGCCTGTGGCATCCTTGCCACATCTCTGTGGTCGGGGTCGTGACTTGAAATATCCAATTGCGCTGCCGCAGATATCCGCCACTGCGCTAGAGGAAGCGGCGAAGTGAGGCAGGTCCGTGGCAGGGCGTAGTGGAACTCTGGGTGGTTAGTTTGTACGGAATGAATACATATCGAACTTGAGGCGAAAAATGAATGGTTGTGTTTGGTTCGGGCCTTCTTGATGTTGTTTGGGGCGGGGGGTGTGGCTTTGGGGCCTTCATGGGGTTATCTTGTAGTTTTAGGCGTGTCTGGCCAGTTCGGCTGGGCGGTATGTCAGAGGCGTCATGGATGTTGGTTGGATGCTCGTGGTTGGCCGCTTTGGGACCTGAGGGAGGCAGTTTCGATGCCTTGTGACGCCTCTTGGAGGCGGTTGGAATCTCCTTGAGGGCACTTTGAGGCGTTTTGGGTCATTCTTCGGGGGTCTCTTACGTCTTAACAACGACAGTTTAGGATGCCGACGTAACCAGAGAAGAGAGATAAGGAGGAGGCGTAAAAACCGGAACAGCAAATTGTCATGAGAGGGAGGAGGAGGATGTCGGGGAAGAAAAGAGGAATACAGAGGATGATGAGGAGGCGGCGGAGGAGGAGGAGGAGGAGGAGCAAGAGCAGGAGCAGGAGCAGGGGCAGGGGCAAGAGGCTGATAAAGAGGAAGGGAAGGACAAATATCTGAATAGGCGGAGAAGGATGATGATGAGCAGGAGCAGGAGGGAGGGAGGAGGCGAAAAACAGGATATGCAAACTGGCCACAGGGGGAGGATGATGATGTTGGGGGAGGAGAACAGAAAAAAGGAGGATGATGAAGAGGCGGCGGAGGAGGAGGAGAAGAAGGAGCAGGAGCAGGAGCAGGAGCAGGAGCAGGGGCATGAGGCTGATAAGGAGAAGGGGAAGGAGGAGTATTATAGCAGGCGGACAAGGATGCTGATGAGAAGGAGGAGAAGGAAGAGAAGGAAAAGGAGGAGGAAGAGGGGCAAGAAACATGACGAACATAAGAGTATCCTAGGATGTCTCTTCGGAGTTGTCGTGGAAGCTTCTTGAAACGTCTGGGAGCTTCTTAGGAACCAAAGACTCTTGAGGCTTCTTGGGGGCCTCTTGGGAAGCTATTTGGGTCGTCTTGGGCGCCTCTTGGGCCCGTCTGGGGGCCTTGTCGGGGCGTTCTTGGAAGCTTTAGGGGCTCTCGTGGGGCCATCTTGGATGATATCGGTCAACGAAGGGGGGGTCCTTAATTACGCCCCCCCCTCAGGAGCACCAGAAATCGCCTCCCGGACCCATCTTTGGGCGCTGTTGGGGCCGTCGTGGGTCTCTCTTGGGCCCCTCTTGGGGCCATCCTGGGCCATCTTGGAGCCATCTTGAAGCCTCGGATGGCCATCGGAAGCGAAAGGGTGAGAAAGCAACAACACATTGATTTCCTTTGGTTTTGGAACGATGTTTGGCTTCGTCGGGGCCTCGCTGGGGAGCTCTTTTGGCCACTTAGAACCATATTGGGGCGGTCTTGGAGCGTCTTGGAGCATCTTGGGAGCTATGTCGAGGCATCTTGCGCTATTTTGAGCCATATTTGAGGCTATCTTGGGCTCGCTGTGGCCCTCTTGGAGCCAACTTGGGCGAAAAGGTACGCGCTGACACCTCCCCGCCCCCCCCGTCCAGGTCCATGGGGAGGGGGTAGGGGGAGGGGTAAGCCCCTCCCCGAAGGGGAAGAGGGAGGGGTGGAAGAGGAAACGCCCTAAACCACCGACGCCCAGAGGGCTGGTGGGATTACTTGCCCCACGATCGTAATATCGATCCCTCAGTGGTGTCCCTCTCGCTGCCCAGTGCCATTTCGATTCCAGCTGTCGTCAATATTTACGCAAGGTTTACTTCCACCTTGTCTGTAGCCGCTGACCGTGCCACGCAATCCAGCCCACATCGGAAAGAGCGTGTTCTGCCGCTGCTGGCAGAAAACAAGGGGGAGGTCACTGGGAGTTTCAAACCCGTCCCCCCCCCCTCGAAAACCGGTGGGGGTCACTGGGGGGGCCCAAACCCGTCCCCCCCGTCGGTCCATCCATCATGAACAAAGGGGGGTCACTACTGGTTCGAGCCCCCCCCCTTCCTCCTCGCCGCCGGCAAGCGACTCCGCCTCCTCCCCCACTCGGGAGGGGGGGCTGTGGTGGGGGCAGTGGTGAGGGCGGTTGTGGGGACGGTGGTGGGGACGGGGGGGACAGTGGGACAGTGGCATGGTGGGGAAAGTGGGACGGTGGGGGCAGTAGGACAGTGGGACGATGGGACAGTGGTACAGTGGACAGGTGGGCCAGTGGGGACAGTGGAGGCAATGGGACACTGGGGACAGCGGGACAGTGGGGACGGTGGGACATGGGACAATGGGACAATGGTACGGTGGGCACGGTGGTGGGGACGGTAGGGACGATGAGACAGTGGTGGGGACAGTGGGACAGTGGGACAGCACAGAGGGACAGCGGTGGGGACACTGGGGACAGTGGGACAGTGGTGGGGACACTGGGGACAGTGGGACAGTGGTGGGGACAGTGGGGAGGGTGGGACCGTGGTGTGGACAGTGGCGGGGAAAGTGGGGACAGTGGGACAGTGGTGGGGGCACTGGAGGGGACAGTGGGGACAGTGGTGGGGACAGTGGGAGCGGTGAGAACAGTGGGGACAGTGGGACAGTGGTGAGGACAGTGGGGACAGTGGGATAGTGGTGGGGACGGTGGTGGTGGGGACAGGGCGGTAGTGAGGACGGTGGTGGGGTGGGGACTGGGGAGTCGTTTGCCAGCGGCGAGTAAGGGGGGGTTCGAAACGGTAGTGAACCCTCCCTCCCGGTTTTCCCCGGTGGGGGAGGTTCGAACGGGTAGTGAACACCACCGGTTTTCTTGGAGGGGGAGGGGGGTGTTGGGGGTGAAAATGGATGGGGGGGGTTTTCGGGGGGGGAGGGGACATCCTGGTTCCGAAGGCAGAGGTTTTTTTGCGCAGCAAAGCGGCGGTGGATCACACTCTCTCCCACATCGGCATCTTGTGGCTCCTGCGACGGGGACCCTGAGATTCGTCAGGACTTCTCCCGATCCAAGGTCTCGTTTCTCCTGGGCTGCTCCTCCTTGGACTGCCTTTGGGGGCCGCTTCTACGTTCCGACACGTTGGCGTCGACCCCCCCACGTTGCTTTTTTCCATCGCCTGCAGCTGTCCACCATATACGACGGGGGCGTTCGTTAAGGAATGTGCCCAGGAAGGCTGCAGACCCTGGGGGATCCCTTCTCCGATGACAGCGACGGTGATATCCGTGGCCGATCCACGATTGGAGTTCCACCAGCTTCCAGCCCTTGGACTCCTTGTCCGACTGTTCCTTAGCCAGTACCCTCACCGCACACCACACACGCACTTCCGGAGGCCTCGCGCGGACTTCCTCGTTCCGGCGCCTGGGCCCCCCTCGACCCAGGCGCGGCGCCCCCCAGGGGCCCTCCGCGCGGCCAGGGCGGGGAAGGGGAGACGGCGCCCTCCCAGGAAGCCCGAGCGGGGCTCAAAAGGCACCAGCACAGCTACGCCTCCTGGGAGGCCCTCGTCGCCACCGCTGGATTCGGCTCGAGATTCTTGTCAGAGCGCACCCCAGGACAGGTCCAGGGAGTACTGGTCTCGATGCCTTTGGGCTTCCCATGTGCGGTCTCTTCGGTGCTCTGCCGGCTGCCTACCAGCCTGAAGAATACGGTCGGGAACTTTTGCTTAGCGTGCCGCGGCGGCGGCCCCAGCGACACGCTATGCCGTGCGTGCGGACGGCGCGTCGCTCCGCTTCGCGGGAGGAGACGCTGGGAAAACCCGGGACGTTGACACCTGGGGACCAAGATGTGGATAGTGTGTCGCGCCGGATCGTGGTGGGCCAGAACCGGCGGATCGACACGCTAAGCCAACGTTCCTGACCGTATCCTTGCCCCCAGGGCTGGCATTTCACATCACCTCGGCGCCGATCTTGAGAATTCCTTCAGTTTCTTGGCGCATCCCTGAAATTGTCATCGCCGTGGTTCTGTCAATCCTATACACGCGATATTTCGTTTTTCCAACACGGGGTCCGCAGACATCTCGACCCTTTACCCAGGGCTGGTTTTGCATCCCGAGCCGTTTGTTGAAGGTCCCGAGGCCCGGCGAGGGCCCTGCGAGGCTGAAAATGAGGAACACCTTCGTATTCGTTGGATGTCTGAGTCTCCACGGGTTCCAACCCCTTCCCTGAGGATAGTTTTGTTCGTCCGGTGGTGGGACAAAAACGACGGCGTAGAGTCCATGCAACACACGAATTCCGAAAATCCGAAGAGCAGGATATTATGTGGCCATGAGTCTGTCGTCGGCTGAAGCCCTACACGCCGCCATGATGGTCCCAGGCAGGCTGTGTTGCCGTGTGGAAGGGGACGAGGAAGAGGAGAACCAGGCAGACGACGACGAACGCGCAGGCGGGAGGCCAGGGCCGGCGGGGCGGGCAGGTGGAAGAGAGACCAGGCGGAGACAGCAGGCAGGGAGCAGGAGGAAAGGAAAGGGAGGGAAGCAAGGAAGAGGAGGAGAGGGGAAGCAACTGCGAGCAGACAGGCCGGGCCAGGGGCAGGGAAAGAAGGGCCACCCGCGACGAGGCTGCGGACCGTGCCGCGGCGACGCCGACCAGGCGGCGCAGGCGTAGCGGTGGAGTGGGCGGTGAGCGTCGGGGGGGGGGGGGCGTTGGCAGTCGTCGGGAAGGGCCGTCGGGGTCGTCCAAAGGCGGCGTGGGGTGGCCGACGCAGCCCGGGATCGTGGGGGGTTGGCGTCGTTTTTTTTTCGTCCTGGATTCATTTTTGGTGGTCCCTCGGCCCGACAATGGGTCCCAGGGGCCGGCATCTGCCAAAAAACTCCGTTGGCAAAGCTCGAGGCTGGAGTCCGCTGCGCCGCCGAGGTCGCCGACTCCCACCCCGAGCAGGCCTGCGGCCTGGGGCCCTGGCGCGGCATCGAGCTCTCGCGGCTGCAGTCCTCCGCGCGAGCCGGCGGCGACCGCATGGGGCTCGGGGCTCTCGGTCGGCCGGCAGCGGGGTTCAGCGGGAACGGGGTTCAGCCAGAGCGCCAGAGTTTGCAGCGTGCTGCAGATTGACAAAGAGGAGCTTCCCGAATTCCGGGCGGATGTCTTGGATCGGCGTTGGGACCCCCTGGCGGCGCCTCCGACGCCGACCCTGCCGCGCTCCACGCGCCGGGTGGGGGGGCCCAGCGCCGATCCTAGAAATCCGCGCGGGTCTCCAGAAGTGTAGGCGTATGCAGTTGTTGTTTGGGCGTCGAGTAATGGGGGGCGATGAACGGGGGGCAGAGAGGGTTGCAGAAACGGGGCCCTTGAAGGCGCCCACAGGGGCCCTTCACGACTCAAAGGGAGCCGTCCCGAAGAGGTAATTTTTCTTCCCCCAATCGCCCCCCATCGCCCCCCGCTGAACGACGCCAGTGTTGTTGCCATCTTGTGCCAAGCCAAAGCTGGGCTGAACCTGGTTGGGGGAGCTGTTCGCGGCCCCGGATGTGCCCTTACCTCCTGCATTGGCCGACCTGGGCCTGGGAAGCCCCCCAACAAAACTGCTGCGCAGTTGTTTTCTAAACTGGTTGAGCTGCGTTTGCGTTGACCGGGCTTACAGTCCACGCGCGACGGGGGGTTCGGGGCGTGCTCGGGAGCCAGGCCGGCAGGCTGGCGCATCGATTTCGGCGGCGTCGGCACGGCCCCAGCGAGCCTCCAACGTTTCTGGCCCGAAATGTGAGGGTTCAGGACGATCGTCCGCCGCCAGGGAAGGGCCTCTCGTCGACGAGGCCGGATCCCCTCCGACGCTCTGACCGGAAGGCACCACGAGAGGAGCGACCTGCGGATGGGTTTTGAAGAGGTTGCCCCAGGCGTCCAGCAGCTCGAACGGGATCGGGACGGCCGGCGTTGCGCCATCCTGGACCTGCGGAGGCCCGTCTCGGGGCCTTGGAACCGTCGAGAAGCGAATCGGCAATGAGAAGCCGCAGACACGCGGCCATCGCAACATGCCCACCCCGCTTTTTGGCATCGTAACATACAAGCGGCCATCGTAAACCAACATGCCATACAAGCGGCCATACAATATTCGTTTTGATGGCATTTCCAACCCCGTGCCCTCGCTTCTCGAAGAGGCCACTGCCCTGGACGAGGCTGCTGGCCCTGCGGGAGAGCAAACGAAAGCCAGCCTCAGGGATCCTCACCACTGATCACCCTGATGTTGAAAACATTGGCAACCGTTTCACAGACAGAGGGCGGGCCGTTTTCATAATGCGGCTCTCGCCTTAGCGCCGCGCGCGCTCGTTTTAAACATTTGCAAGAGTTCCACGGATTGAGGACAGGACGTTTTCAAAATGTGGATCTCGGTCTGGCGCCGCGCACCTTCGTTTTGGGAATCCAAAAGCTTCGCGGATTGAGGGCGGGGCGTTTTCAAAATGTGGTTCCCGCCACAGCGCCGCGCTCATTCGTCCTAAACTTGTGCAAGAGCTTCACGAATTCAGGGCGGTTCGTTTTTTAATTGTGGCTTTCGCCTTAGCGCCGCGCGCATTCGTGCGAATGGTTTGCAGAACCTTCACATATTGAGGGCGGTTCGTTTTCACAATGTGGGTCTCGCCTTCGCGCCGCGCGCATCCGTTTCAAATGTAACTTCAGCAAGAATTTCACATATTCCCATGGTCAACGTGCCAGCAATTGTGTTTTGGACGGGCTCAGGATTCTGAGGGCGCAACAGTTCCGTTGATTCGTGGTGTTCAAGTCCCGGGAACGGCGTTGTGGCACGTTTCAGGATCGCCAGGACACAACAGTCAGGTTGATCCGTGGCGTTGGAGTCGAATGGTGTTTGGGAGCGCTTCAGGGTCTTCAAACGGCGGTCTCCCAACGAGGCAGTTCCTACAGTGGAAATGACATTTGTAGGGGCCTATGAAGAGGGAGTTCGGGGAGGGTTCATTCCAACGTCGATGATGAGTCTTGGGTTCGCACTCCTCCTCCTCCTCCTCCTCCTCCTTTGGCTCGCCACGAGGGGGAGCCCCCCTTCGACCCTCCACACGGATCAAGCACGCCCGTCAACTTATGGAGGCCCGAGACGGGCCGGGAACGGAGCGCCCAAAGATGTCTGGAGGCCCGACGCGGGCTCAAGACGCTGGAGCAGCTCCCCCCTCGGCCCTCGAGAGGCTCTCGAGGGAGGCGCTTGACGGAGGCCTCCGAGGGAGGCTCCCGGGGGAGGTTCCCGGGAACTCCCACGGGAGGTTCCTGAGAGAGGCTCCCGAAGGAAGCCTCCGCGTGAGGCTCTTGGGGGGGGCCAAGAGCGCCCGAAGACCTGCCTCCTCGACCCTCGAGGGTCGAGGGCACACTTTGACAGGCGCGTTAGGACAGGATGCAACTACTAAGAGTTACATTCACCATCGGCGGCGTATACCCGTGGTGGCAAACACAGCGCAATCCGGCCCAGTCTCGTTTAATTTCGCTTAAGTAGCACCGCGGACTCCTGGATTTAATCTGGCCCGGTCCTGCTCAATGGCCCCTCACCTCAATCGGGCTGAATAGCTGTCGTTCCCACGGGGAGCTCCCAGAACTTGCCTCCTGAGGCACGCGTGGCAAGGAGGACTGGGAGTGCGGCGTTGCTTTTTGGCATCCCTAGAGGTGATGGTCTTGGGCGGCTCTGCGAGCGGGTGCTCGGGCGCCGACTCGACAAGGAGATGCAGTGCAGCGACTGGGCCTCTCGGCCTCTGGAGATGGTGCCGAGGGGGGGGGGCCTCCGGACATCCAGGGCCCACGTGAAAATTATCCTGTGACGTACCCAACCCATTTGCATCAAGTGACAAGAGAAGTTGGCCCAAACTTGCCAGGACAATGACAGTGGAGGTGCCGTTATATGTTGTGGGAGCTACATGGGATGCGCTCACGTGGCACGATTCACAGGACAACGACAGACGGACGAGGAGCGAGGGCCCAGGGGTGGGAACGAGGGCGGGAACGAGGGGCGGGAACGAGGGGCAGGAGAAAGACGCGTGGGGGGGCCGAAGCGTCAGCGCGGGAGCAGCAGAGGGAAGGTGGCAGGGGGCAGAGGACGACGACGAGAAGGGATGAGACCGAAGAGTGTTGTTCTTGTCGGTAGGACGCGAAAGATGCAGCGCGGCTTGCGCCATGTCGCCGCGGCGCTCGGAACAACAAAGATTGAAACACCAGCTTATAGTAATTGCAAGAGGCCCGCGGCGGGCGATGCCTATCTCGCCAGCCAGCTTCTCTGCTTCCTTCCTGACGATCCTGGAATCCGAAACAACACCCAGGTAAATGAAAAAGACGTCACTACGTTGGACACTATGTTGAAAACGAACTGCCCTCAAACCGTGAAGCTCTTGGAATCTGTTGAATCGAGTGTGCGCGGCGCCAAGGCGAGAGCCACATTTTGAATGGAGGAGGGGGGAGGAAGAGGAGGAGGAGGAGGAGGAGGAGGAGGAGGAGGAGGAGGGGGAGGGAGGGAGGACCGAGGATCGGGGAGGGAGAATGGTGGCTCCAGGAGGCATTGTTGTTGCGTCTGGGGTAGTTCTGTGCATCTGTGTTTCTATCTGCGCGCGTGTGTGTGTGTGTGTGTGTGTGTGTTTGCGTGCGTGCGTGCGTGCGTGCGTGCGTGCGTGCGTGCGTGCGTGCGTGCGTGCGTGCGTGTGTGTGTGTGTGTGTGTGTGTGTGTGTGTGTGTGTGTGTGTGTGTGTGGGTGTGTGCGTGCGCGCGCGTGCGTGCGTGCGTGCGTGTGTTTCGGTTGCCTTGGTGGCTCTTCCGGACGCTTCTCCGACTGCCTCCGCCGCGTCGCTGCTGGCGGCGACGCCAAAAGCGTGCGCGTGTGTTGTGAGTGTGCGTGCGTGTGTGTGGTCCGCCGTGGGGGGTGTCGTCCTGCCCCGCCTCCTCAACCGTGTGTGGTGCTTGTGTGCGTGTGTGCGTGTGTGCGTGTGTGTGTGTGTGTGTGTGTGTGTGTGTGTGTGTGTATGTGTGTGTATGTGTGTGTGTGTGTGTGTCACGCTGCGTGAACTGGCCCGGTCCGCGCCCTTCCCGCTTGGCTTGCCCTACACCGCGCCGCGGCGCGCGTGGCCGCGACGCCAACAAGTTGTGTGTGAATGTGCGTGTGTGTGAGTGTGTGTGTGTGTTGTGTTGTATGTGTGTGTGGGGGGCAACACCCCTAGCGGTGACCGCTCTCCCGCACAGCCCTGCACCAGTCTGCGCCAACCCTTCCCACGGGGACCCCCGCGCCCGCCCGAGAGGCCACCTCGGACCAGTCCGCGGGCCCCGGACCTTCCCGCGATGCCGCAATGCCCCTCAGCGGTGCCAGGTGGTTTGCAGTTCATGGGTCCTGTCCGCCTTCCTCGCGGGTGCGCCGCCGATCCTCTCCTCCTCCTCCTCCTCCTCCTCCTCCTCCTCCTCCTCCTCCCTCCTCCTCCTCCTCCTCCTCCTCCTCTTCGTCCTCCCCCTCTTCCTCCCTCCTCCTCCTCCTCCTCCTCCTCCTCCTCCTCCTCCTCCTGTTCCAGACTTGCACCTGTGCTTTCCGCGGAAGAGTCTGCCGATTCAACCAGTGATGGGTGGAGCGAGAAGCAAGGCCCGGACGGTGGACGCAACCCTGCGGAACGCTGGGCACGTGCTGGACGAAGGCTGAGCGCCCTGGGGACAAGAAGCATATCACAGCCGCAACTCCCGGCACGACATAGCACCACGTTCAAGCTGTGGGCCACCGCGCTTCCGAGAGCATGTCATCCCCCTCCCTCCTCCCTCCTCCCCCTCTTCCTGCCTCCTCCTCCGCGGCCGGGCGCATGCCGACGTTGGCGCCGCCGCCGCCCGCGCGAGCTGTGCTGGTCAGCAGCGTCGGAGCCGCGCCCGATGCATCGGGCGCGGCTCATCAGCAGACGATGCATCGGGCGCGGCTCATCGGGGCGTGTGTTGGCGGCCGCAGACTCCGCACCCCACCCATCAGCACGAAGAATGGGTGCAATGCCCAACAGCAGTTCTGGTTCATTTTGAACAGGACTCGCTGTCGGCGCCGCCGCGGCCTTTGTCCATTTGAGACAGAAGGCGCCTGCCCAACAGAGGCCGCTGTTAGTTTGGGACAACATTCGTTGTTGGGCATTGTATGTACCCATGTTTTACGTACCCATTGGGGGCGTTCAAAACCCAGTGGCGCGCGATCTTCCTCCTCTTCCTCCTCTTCCTCCTCCTCCTCCTCCTCCTCTTCGTCCTCCCCCTCTTCCTCCTCCCTCCTCTTCGTCCTCCCTCCTCCTCCTCCTCCTCCTCCTCCTCCTCCTCCTCCTCCTCCTCTTCCTCCTCCCTTGAGATCCGATATAGCGAAAACATGGAGCCTCGTGAAAAGTCACGACCATAGACACGGACCCCATTTTTCTGTGTCACTTTTCAAGCCCGATCCACCTGCGAGGGCCCCTGGGCCCGAGACCGGGCGAAAACGCCGGCGTGAAAAAGCCGAGGCACCAGGATTTCAGGGTCTTCCTCGAACCTTCCGCCCCCCTTCGACCCCCCCCCTCCCCAGGCCTTTGGGTAGGCCTCTGGGGCAGCCAGTAGTTTGTAGAACCAATGGATAGTAAATCCACTGCATGGATCGCTGTTCTGGGAAGGTGCTTCCATACTCCGTATTTTCTTACCCATACCCGGGATTCACTGACTACTTGCCGCACCTTTTTGGGGCGGCAGGTCGTTTGTACAATCAAGTGGATAGCAAATGAGTTACACGGATCGCTGTTCTGGAAAAGTGCGTCCATATCCCAGATTCACACCTACTTTCATACTTTGGATTTGCTGACCACTATCTAGGCCTCCCAGATGGGGTCCGAGTAGATGGGGTCGGAGGATCGCGCCGCATCGCCGATGCATCGGCGTTGCGGCTCGATGTGCAGCCCGATGTCTGCAGACGTCGCCGATGCATCGGCGATGCATCGGCGATACGGCGCGATCCTTCGACCCCATCCACCCGGACCCCCTGTGGGGGCCCCTATACTTGCCGCCCCCCGGCCTCCGCCCCGTGCGAACCGTGCGCCGCCCCCGCCGCCCCACTGGGCGCGGGGCAGAGGCGCAGCTGCGCTACGCCGCGCTGGACGCCTGGGTGCTGCTGCCGCTGCTGCGCGCCCTGCTCGGCCGGTCGGAGGTGGCAGGCCCGGGGCCGCCTGCGCCTCCCCACCCCTCAAGCAGTGGCGGAGCGTCCCGGCTTGCCTACGGGCCGGGCGGCCCACCAAAGAATGCTCTGAGAAGCTGCGGAGGTTTGCGCGAAATCTTCTTGGGACATGTCTGGTTGAGGTTGTCTTGTTTCCATGTACGTGTTTCATGTTATACGAATAGTGCTTTTGCTATTCGGACATTATTTGGTTCTCAGGACATGCCGTGGTAGGCCTGTAGGAATTCTGGGACGGTCGGTCCCTGCTCACCCCCCCCTCCCCTTCTACGGTCGGGAACTTTGGCTGAGCGTGTCGATAAGCCGAAGCTCCCGACCGCCTTTGCCGCTACCCCCCGGCTCCTCCTCGTCCTCCTCATCCTGGCGCTGGTAGGGTCCTGGGGTTCATGCTCCATTCCTGAAGCCCGCGGTGGACAGAGTGACGAGTGGATCGGCAGGATGATCGTCGCGCCGTCCCCTTTCGCCTTCTCCTGCCTCTCTCCGAAGGATGCGCTTGCTGAGAGAAACAAGTTTGGCTTAGCGTGGCGCTCCGCCCGTTCTGGCCCACCACCTTTCGGCGCGACACGCGATCCACGTCCCCATTTCCAAGCGTCAATGTCCCGAGCCTTTCCGAGCCCCCCCCCGGCGGAGCGGAGCGACACGCTGTTCACTTGCAAGGCATAGCGTGCGGCGGGAGCCGCCGCTGTGACACGCTGTGCAAAAGTTCCCCCCCCCGACTTCGGATCCGCCGCGCTGTTACGGCGATGTCGCAAGTAAGGCGGGAATTTCGTTCCCACTTGTCAGGCTCCTTTGATGACGATGTTCTCCTAATACTTTGCCGTCGCTGGGTCCGCCGTGCGTTCGCGGAAATATTCGCCCTGCTGTTTCTGAGGCGGAAATGTACGCCCTATCGGTTTGCATCGATGGTGTTGCATTGCCAACGCAATTGTAAGTCGGAGCATCGACGAAGGTACGGCGGCTCCGAAGTCCCCCCCCGTCTTCTCTTCTCTTCTCTCCATGAGATCCTGGCGTCTTAGGCGTTTTCTCCCGGTCTCGGGACGCGGCCAGGGCCCCCGCGGATGGAAAGGTCTAGGAAACTGGCGCAGGAAGACGGTGTCTTGGGCTCTGGTCGCGTCGTCGGATCTCAGGGCCCTCGGGGGCCCCCAGGCGGAGCGGCGACCATGCCGCGTGGTGACGAACACGGGCACGGACCCGGGCCTGGACCCAAACCTGGACCCGACCCGGACCTGGACACAGAGCCGGAGCCGGGGCCAGAGCCAAACTGGAGCCAGGGGCTGGAGCTGGAGCCGGGGCCGTGAGCGGGGCCGGGGCCGGGGCCGAGAGGCTGGACACAACAAGCAGGCCAGCAGAGTCGGGGCCGACACAAGGACCGAGAGAACGATTCAGGACGAAAAGCCAGCGCCGAGATTCGAAAATATCCAGTCATCAAATCATTGCGTCGGAGTGGAGAGAGTGGGCCCTCCCTTCTTCTCGGCCGCCCCCGCCGATGGGGCTGGTGGGATCTCCAGCGCGCAGGGCACCCGTACGGTGCAGGACCTCGAAGTCGCCTGCCCATGAGGGGGGGGCAGTGAGCACTACATGTGGGCTCCCGATTAGAAAAATTGCCCCCCCCCCCCCTCTCCCCCACCAAGTTCCACAATGGGGAAGGACGCGATCAAGATTTTCGGCCGGAAGCTTTTTTTCTAATCGTGTCGCTCCTGCATCCCTCCTCACTCCCCCTCCCCCCTTGGATGTTGATTTGATTTCCCTCCCCTCCCCCCCCCCCATCGCCGTTCCCCCCCCCCCCCGCGCTTGCCTCGCCCACCGCTGGCGGGGGCGGTTCTTCACCCGGTTCGCGCGCTGGCGGTGGCGTGCCCTCTTAGTCGTGGCTTCCAGTTGAGATAGTCGTGGCCCGGGGGCTTCCGCCCCAGAAGATTCAGAGCAGCAAGAGAAGGACGGCGAGAAGGATGATGAGGAGGAGGAGGAGGAAAAAGGATGGGGGGGAGGACAGGGGGGCAACCGACGAGGAGGAGCAGGAGGATAACGGGGAGCAGGAGGAGGAGGAGGCGGAGGACGACAGAGGGCTCTTGGATGTGTGTTGTGATCTCGTGGGGCCGTTTGGGTCCCCCTTGCGACCTCTTTCGGGTCTCTTGCCTCGAGCTGTCTTGGAAGGCAGAACGGGCTTGCTGGAGACGTGGGAGGGTGGATTTGAAAGCTCTGGAGGCCCAGGGGATTCGTTGGTGAGTTCGTGCCCCCCCCCCTGGGGCCTCCCCCAGCGGGCCCCCCTCCCCGGGATTTTGGTCTCCAGGGGAGGGAAAACCCCCGGCAAGCGGAGGTCGGCGGATTCCGAGCTTTTCATTCCTACCAGTTCCTAGCTATCCCTGGCAATTCATATCTATTCCTAGCTGCTCCTACCTATTCATAGCTAGTCCTGGCTACTCGTACCTATTAATTACTATTCCTACCCATTCCTACCTATTCCTCGCTACTCCAGTTTATCCCTGGCTATTCCTACAAACTCCGAGCTATTCCTATGTATTCCCACCTGCTCCTACCCGTTCCTATGTATCCCTGCTTATTATATCCCTACCTAGCCCTAGCTGTTCCTACCCATTCCTAGCTGCTCCTTCCCATTCCAAGCTATTCCTATCATTCGTGATTGTTTCAGGACGCGGGCCCCCAATGGGCGGCGGCGGGGGCCAGCCCCATGGTGACCCCCGGCGCGGCGGGGGGTTGCGGTGAGGTTGGGGCGGCGGCGGGGGCCAGCCTCACGGTGCCCCCGCCGCGCGGGGGTACCGCCGCGGCGGGGAGGAGCTGTGAGGTTGGGGCGGCGGCGGGGGCCAGCCTCACGGTGCCCCCCAGCGCGGCGGGGGGGAGCTCGATTCCCGTGCGACTCGAGCTCGATTCAGGTCGGCGAGTGTGTTGACGAAGCATCGACGTATGAGTGGGGAGTGTCGTTCCCCGAGGGACTTCAGAACGAGCACCTCAGGGTGCCGGAGACGGGGTCACAGCAGACGGGGGCACGGCGAACACCGATTTCTACATTTGGCTATGCTTCTGTTTAGGGGCCCCTGAGCTCCGTAGACGGGAGCATAGTAAGCTGGGGGCATGGAAACCGTAAGTCCCCTTTTAGTTATGCCCCCCCTTCGGGGGCTCTGAGCACCTAAGCCTATTGCACTGCTCCAGCGCGCGGCCCAGGGCGGGGGGGGGGGGCGGCGCGGCGCGGCGAGGCCGCGGGGAGGAGCTGCGTATTGACCACGCCGTGGTGGAGGAGCCGCCGGCCGCCTGCGCCGCGTGCTGGTCTGCGAGCGAGCTTTGAGGGCAGCGCTGGGCGGCGAGCCCCAGGGGGGAGCGCCGAGGTGGCGGACCCTGGAGGGCCAGGAGGGCGCAAGCATGGTCCCGGGCAGCAATGATGCGTCATAAAATTGTGCGTCCGGAAGGGCTCAAAACTCGAAGTTTGTTCAAATAGGAATTCGAGTTCTGAGCCTGCCATGGCGGGCGCATTTTTGCGCACGAGCGGCAAACGAAACGCATTGTTTTTTGCTTGTTTTTTTTTTGGGGGGGGGACAGAACACGTGTCGAGCATCTGCCAACTTGTGAGCAGAGGGCGGCAAACAAGTGCGCTCAAAAGCGCTGCCCGCTGCCCCTCGCGGCCCGCCCCCCGCCCGCGCGCTCCACGGCTCGAAGGGGCCTCCAGCCTTCTGAAAGAGCTCCGGGGCCTTCTCCGAGGGCGCACGGTAGGGCTCGTGCCGTGTCGGCCAGCGGCGCCCCCGCCGCCTGCGCTCAGCGTCGAACGCCGCCGGGCTGCCGGCGACCCAGAATCGGGCAAGTGAGCGATCGGAGGAGGAGGAGGAGGAGGCGGAGGAGGAGGAGGAGGAGGAGGAGGAGGAGGTCAATTGAGCGATCGGACCATCCCCGCGGAGTCCGGAGCCAACGTCGGGGTCGACACGACGCGAACTCGCTGTAGACGTCAGAGGGCCGGAGGGCTTCTGGGAAGCCCCGCCGCCTGCGAGAAGGCCTGCCCTCTTTCAGTTCCCCCCAGGGGTCGCCGCCAAAGCGCAGCCCAGGTCTCCGCGGATATGTATTTTGCAACCACGGCGTTTTTCCTCGATTTTGTCCTCTGGGGTTCGTTGTCGGGCCCCAGGCACACGGTTAACTTCCCTGGAGGAAGCGGTCGGGACCAATCGGGCCGTTGATTGAAAAAATCATGTCGGCGGATGCTTGGGACCCTTAGATCCAGGATCTGTGCGTTGCAGCTTTTTCGCGCAGGGCGTTTTCGGCCAGTTTCGGGCCCGAGAGTCCTCACAGATTGATCCAGCTCGAGAGATGCTGGACAGAGAGAGAGAGAGAGAGATGGCGTCTAGGGCTAAGCTCGTAATTTGTTACGATGTTGATGTTTTTTTCTGTGACGTCGGATCTCAAGGAAGTTGGAGCGTCAAGGAATTCGAACTTTGGTATCCATCCCTCCAGGGGCCACTTTGATCCGATCGATCCAATTCGCTGGCCAGGTCCGATTCGATTCCGACATTTTCCACTATCCGATGCGGGTCGATGTTTGTATGGCGCTGTTTTGGATCCTGGCGCGGCCGATTCGATTCCATTTCGACCATGTGCCGATGCAGCCCGATCAGAATCAGGTTTCGACTGGGTCCAAGATCCCGACTAGATGCTGACTGATCCTGACCTCCAGCCCACCCACATCCCACATGCATGTCCACTAGGATGCAAGACCTGGCAGGTTGAGTTCAGCATTGCCGTTGGTACATCCGTGGCCGAAAGTCGGCCCAAGCCCGCAAAATCCATGCGTTGTGGCGCGCAATCCGGGCCAAGCTGGCTTCATCGGGCCAGTCCGGTTCAGCGGCCACTTAATCGGGCCTACTAGCCTTTGGTCTTGGCATCGCTCGGACGTGTGCATTTTTCCTTCGGCGAGGACCATCGTGGAGCATCCTTGATCATTTGGCGAAAAAGCCACGCACGAAACCGAAAAAAACACAGGGAATGGACGTCCGAGCGATGGCGAGCGGTCCTTCTTGCGAAGACACCCCGGAAGGCCTGCCTCCCAACGTCCACCGCGCCTCCTGAGAGGGCACGCACGTCGACCCGCAGTGGCTCCCGCATCGCCGATAGGGACCCGATGGCCCACCGCGCCCAGGAGCGTGCGGTGTTTCTCATCCAGGGCCTTTCGCCGATCTGGCGGCGACGTATCGCCGATCGGGACGAGGGAGGACGGAGGTGGAGAGGAGAGCAGACGGAGGAGGAGGAGGAGGAGGAGGAGGAGGAGGAGGGGAGAGGGAGGAGGAGGGAGGAGGAGGAGGAGGAGGGGGAGGGGGGAGGGAGGGGGAGGGAGGGAGGGAGGGAGGGAGGGAGGGGGGAGGGAGGGAGGGAGGGAGGGAGGGAGGGAGGGAGGGAGGGAGGAGGAGGGAGGGAGGGAGGGAGGGGAGGGAGGGAGGGAGGGAGGGAGGGAGGGAGGGAGGGAGGGAGGGAGGAGGAGGAGGAGGATGAGGAGGAGGAGGAGGAGGAGGAGGAGGAGGAGGAGGAGGAGGAGGAGGAGGGAGGAGGAGGAGGAGGAGGAGGAGGAGGAGGAGGAGGGAGGAGGAGGGAGGGGACAGGGATAGGGAGAAGAGAGATCGCTTCATTTCCCTGGACAGGAGCGGAGCACGCGGGCCCCCTCCTCCCAGCGCCATCGGCTGTCTTTCTTGGCCTCCTCGCGGTGCGTGGCCTTGGTGTGGTGGAAGCGGCAGAGTTCGGGATCCCTACACACGGTCAAGTCAGCGTTCGGGTCGGCCGAGCCCCATCCAGGTGGTGACCGGGTGGCCCATGTACTAACCTGACTCGTTGCGGCCCTGAGATGGCAGTTCCTCGGCTGATTGGTCAGTTCAGTGCTCGGGCGGATTCGGTGGCACGCAAGCGTCGAGGAACCCAAATGACATAAACATAGCTTCCGGAGGTGCGCGCCAGGGGCGGCGCCAGGGGCGGCGCCAGGAGGCTCCAGCGCCGATCCGAGAAATCCGCGCGTGTCTCCGAAAGTTCATGTTTATGTCATCATCTGTTCCCCGAAAGCAACTCCCTGGGAGCCCAGCGCCCAGCGACGACATGATCCTTTTCCTGCTCCCTGCTGGGGGCAGAACATACGCCTTGAGCGCCACCCGCAGGGCCCGCCGGCCCGAATGGCGCGATTGATGGGCCGGACGAGGGGTCGAGCTCGCCTGTCTCTTCCCTCTGTACCTCCGCGCCTCTCCAGCAACACAAACCCAGGCTTCCAACGCATTGAAAAATCATGATGGATATCTGTCCTCGTTTTCGGCCTCCTGGGGGCTTTCGCCATGCCCCGGGACCGTCAAAAATGTTTCGGGTCGAAAAACTGGCCCTACGCAGGTTACCTGCATGGCATGCCCCCCTCCTCCGCCGCCACTTCGACGGCGCGCTGGGCTGAGAAGGCGTGCAAGTGAGTTCCGAATTGCGTGAAGTTCAGATTTCCTCTCGGACCTCCCCACGTCCCCCACCTCATTCGTGCAAGTACACTTGCCAGGATCCAGTGAAAATCTGTTTCCATGTTAGAAACAAGACGTCGGATGTCTGGCAAGACGACTCCGCAATACGGGGCCCCTGGAAGTCCCGACCATTTACCCGGGGCCGGCTTTTCCTCCCGAGCCGTTCTTTGACGGTCCTGGGGCCCGAACTTTGCCCCCAGGGGCTGACATCGAGGAGAAACTTCCGCCTTGACATTTTCGAGATCGAATGTCGGGCCGTGGCTCGGGCCTCTGGTGGCCGTTCGTTCGTTCGGGAAGATTCGGGCATAGCTTCTGGAGAGCACCCCGAGGCTGGAAAAGCTTCAGGGACCGGCGAAACGTCCGAAAACCTCGAACCTTCAGTTGAAGGTTGTCGGCAATAGTTTTTCCCTCAGTCCTGCAAAACATCGTTCCCACTGTCTGGAAATTGAGAATCTGAAGTTGGGCTTGAGTTCCGGCGCGTCCAGGAAAACGGTATTTCGATGTGTAGGAGATGTCGCCCTTATCATATCCTACCACCAAGCTTGTTCGGCCACGCGCAGAGGGGGTAGGGGGAGGGGGGAAGGCTTCTTAGAAACACCCCTGCTTCTCAGAAGTCGCGGGCCTTGTCTGTAGATGTAGGCCCCGCGCCTTCTAAGAAGCAGCCTCCTTCTGAGAAGCCTTCCCCCCTCCCCCTACCCCCCTTTGCGTGCCGCCAACTTGTATTGATGGGCACACATGTAATGCGGGTGCCGTAGGGGTTCGCACCACTTCCTCGCCCCCCAGCCGCCGGCCCTCTGCTCCTCCTCCGCCTCTGCCTCCTCGCCGCCCTCGCCCACCTCGCCCCCCCCCCTTCTCGCCCTCTCTGCTCATCGTGAGCCGTTTTTCGACTGTCCCGAGGCCTGGCGAGGGCCCCCAGAGGCAGGCAATTGCACAAAGCTTCTGTTTCTTCGACGTGAGCATGTCTGGGGGAGGAGGAGGAGGAGGAGGAGGAGGAGGAGGAGGAGGAGGAGGAGGAGGAGGAGGACCAGTGTAAACCCAAGAGTCATCAACGATGTTGGAATAAACTTGAATAAACCCTCCCTCCAAGCTCCCTCTTCACAGGCCCCTACAATGGTTCATTTCCACCGAGGGAATTGCCTCGTTGGAAGACAACCGCTGGAAGACCCTGAAGCACGCCAAAATATTGTTTTCGGGATTTCCACGCCACGGATCAACCTGACTGTTGCGTCTTGACGATCCTGAATCGTGCCAGAAAGCCACTCCTAGGATTTCGACACCGCGAACCAGCGTAATTGTTGCACTCCGAAACGCCATATTTCTGGTACGCTGGTTACGGGAATCCGTGAAACCCCTGTAAAGTTTAAAAAACGAATGTGCGCGGCGCTCGAGCGAGAGCCACATGTTGAAACGGAACCGCCCTCCAGCCGTGAAGCTCTTGTACACTGTTAAAACGAATGTGCGCGGCGCTGGGGCGAGAGTCACAGTTCGAACATGGTCCGCCCTCAATCCACTAAATTCCTGCAATCTTGTAAGACGACTGAGCGCGGCGCTAGGGCGAGAGTCACATTTTGAAAACGACCCGCCCTCCATCTGTGAAGCTGTTGCCATGTTTGAAGCTTCAGGGTCATCAGTGGTGAGGAAGTCTCAGGCGAAACGTCCGGCCCGCCCTGAAAACTTGCCTCAGGGTGCGACAGGGAGAAATTAGTCAGAAGGAAACAGAATAGAGGAGGGCGAGCAATCCCCCACGCTACCAGACGAATCATCGCCCTCGGCGCCCAGGTAGCAGCATCATTACTCCCTGGACCTATGCCAGGGAGCGTTCTGATTA